ATATTATTTTTTGTTAAAAAAAATATTCAATTAGTGTTTTAAAATTATTTTTGATTGTATTTTGGTTGTAAATCTTTATTAATTGTTTTGTTGAAAAAAATAAATTCTATATTTAAAAAATATCAAAAACAAATAATTTTTTTTCCCAAATAATAGGTGGCAATTACAAGAAAAAAAGAAAAAAATACTGTTGCGGTTGACCAGTTGGATGTCTGGGAAGATGTTCGGACAGACGATCGGATAGATTAAAAAATTCAAAGACTTTTTGGTTTATCAAATATGTTTTCAAAAGTGTTTTTAAATGTGATTTGGAATTACATTTTGAAGATTATAATCAAATAGAGAGTTAGAATATGAAGATGAAATCATGATTTAAGACTGGAACCAAACAGAGCTTATATTATGTCATATAAATATTCTATCTAATTTCAGCAAACAACAGTTGAGTAAAATATTGACAAAAAAATAACTATATAAAACACAAATATGTATCGGTAAAGTCTTACTTTAAATATTGGTTTTAACAATTTTAAACTATTTCCAAGTCATGAGCTCGAGTCAAATATTTTTATTTTTAATTCTGGTTGTTACACAGTTCAATGAGTCAAGATAAGTTTTCATCTTCTACTTTTTGATTTTTTTTTTAATTTTAAATATATATTATCATCTCTCTTTCATGACGAAATTATAATAACGTTATTTGGTTTTGGTTGTCTAAAAATACTTTTCAGAAAATTCAACTTTATTATTTTTCATATTTTTTAATTTTTGCTAATTTTTTTTCATATTTCAAGAAATTTTTTAAAATTTTAGACACACCTAACATAAATATACATAAAAAGTATAATTTTTATATTTTTTCTTAAAAAATTCACTAAATATTAAAAAAATACAAAAAAAGAGAGTATATTTTTCATATTTTTGTATATTTATTAATTTTTAAAAATATTTTAACACAAATATTTTAATTTTTAGATATATTTAATTAAGGTGTATCTAAAAAAGCTTTAGAAAAATGGTTAACGTTTAAAAAATATTCGCTAAAAACAAAAAAACATGAAAAAAAAAATCAGTTTTTAAAAAATTTAATATAAGAAACTAAAACTATCACAATCCAACCCCAGAGATTTAGTGCTTGAATCGCAACTTATTAATTAATTCTAATCTTAACAAATTTAATGGCGCAGGTGGAGATAGAATGGAAGTACGAAAATAATTAAACATAAAATTTTCTTCATTAATGATCAAAAATACATCCATAGGGCTTTTATTATTTTATGCAGTGACAAAATTTTTGGGAAAAAAAAGAAAGAAAATGAAAAGAAAAATAAAATCTAATAGGTTAGCATCAAATTCTGTGCGGGTTCCACTATACGAGGTTACAATTCTTCTTTACATCACATCACCTGAAAAGAGTAACAGCTATAAGTACACAGCAGAGTGAGAAATATTATGCCAAGAGTATAGGGGACAGAAAGTAATCATAGATAGTTATTTAAGCTAAAACGTTAACTTAATTTAATTTGAATAAACAAATTATTTAAGTGGCAAAAACTGCAATATATAAATTATGTAAATAAATAATCATAACCATACTACAGAACAAAACAGAACAGAAATCACTGGAGTGACAGTCAGAACAAAGATCAATGAACTCATGATAGACAGAGGGCTACAAGGTAACCAATTAGAAACCAATGGTTTATTTAAGTCTCACAAGGCATGAGACTCTCATGGTGATATTTACAAAAAAATAATTGTTTATAAAATTATTGTCAAATAATTTTTAAAATTTAAACAAATATATCCATGGATTTCAATTTAAGCAAATAGAGTTCAAAAAATAATCAACGTAATTGAAATATTAATATAATTTATATACACAAATTACGTAAAATAAATTATGGTAACTCAAAATATACGTAAAATATATTATTGTGACTGAAGGTATAATATAACTCACATTTATATTAATCCCTTACTGTTACTTCCCTGTTTACCGAAATTCCTTTTTTTTATTAATTTGCTGTATTTTTTATTTTTTGCTATTTTTTTTTTTGATATTTTTAGCATGTTTTTGAGTTTTTAGCCACACCTAATATAAATATACATAAAAGTATAATTTTTATGAAAACAAATATTTAAAAAATTCACTGAACACTAAAAAAATACAAAGATTCAATTTTAATTTGATAATCTTCAAAAAAAAATATATATATAAGAGAGGGAAAAAATTGTTTACAAATGCAGAAGAGGGTGTATGGGCGACATATTCTTACCGGTAAGATAATACTCTTACCGCTAAGATGAGTGCCCTGAAGTTTTTATCCCATCACGTACAATATAATAACCTTATTTGATTTTGGTCGTCTAAAAATAATATTTAAAAAAAATTATTTTTTTCTTTTCGGCATTTTTGAATTTTTTCTACATTTTTTAAAATATTTTGAGCAAGTTTTTTGAAATTTTGTGCCACACCTAATATAAATATACATAAAAAATATAATTTTTATGAAGAAAATATTTAAAAAATTCACTAAACACCAAAAAATAAACAAAGATTCGGTTAAATTTGATAATCATAAGAAAAAAAATAGAAAATTTAAGAGACGAAAAACATAGAAAATTTAAGAGAGGAAAAAAATTATTTATATATGCGGAAGGGGCGTAATCGGTATTTGAACATTTTCTTACCGATAAGATAATACTCTTATCGCCAAGATATGAATCTTACTGCTAAGATAAGTGCCTTGCGGTTTTTATCCCATCACGTACAATATAATAAACTTGTTTGATTTTGGTCGTCTAAAAATACTTTTTAAAAAATTTTATATTTTTGCTTTCCGTATTTTTGAGTTTTTTCTATATATATATATTTTCATATTTTGAGCAAGTTTTTTGAAATTTTTTGCCACACCTAATATAAATATACATAAAAAATATAATTTTTATGAAGAAAATATTTAAAAAATTCACTAAATATCGAAAAATAAACAAAGATTCAGTTTTTATTTGATAATCACAAGAAAAAAAAATAGAAAATTTAAGAGAAGAAAAAAATTATTTATATATGTGGAAGGGGCATAATCAATATTTGAACATTTTCTTACTAGTAAGATAATGCTCTTACCGCTAAGATATGAATCTTACCGCTAAGATAAGTCCATGAGGTTTTTCTCCCATCACGTACAATATAATAACCTTGTTTGATTTTGGTCGTCTAAAAACATTTTAAATTTTTTTTTAGGGTATATTACATTGACACTCCCTGAGGTTTATGTTTATTACAGTTTTTCCCCTCACCTTTTGGAAATTACATTCCCTTCCCTGAGGTTAAAAGTTTTATTACAGATTGCTCCCTAAGGTTTAAAGTTTCATAACAGTTCCCTCCCCGTAATGATCATCATACATAAAATTAAATTAACATGGGGTCAGTGTAATATTTCAAATGTGAGGGGGGTAAACTGTAATAAATATAAATCTCAGGGGGTGTCAGTGTAATTTACCCTATAATTTATTTTAAAACTTATATCTATGACTATTTTTTTTTTATATTGTCCATGATATATTAGTTACAAATAATATTTTTTTTAATATTTCTTGAAGTCAATCGTAAAAATTTATGTGAAATATTTTTGTAAAATTTTTTAATATTGTAATTAATAAATATCTCATCTGATTTAATTTCATAGTTCCGCCATTGCTAAAAATATAAGTGGCCACCTGTGATTGGTTGCTAAAAAAATAATAACATTAAAACCTCCTTTGATGTTTGAACATATATATTTTTAATAAGATTATTAATAAGAATTAAGTAAATGTAGTATTGCTCTTTTTCTTTTTATATTTTAATGAAGTTTTTATATTTGTCACAAAAAAAATTTAAAATTATTTAAATATCATTTGATATTATTGGACTAGCAGGTTATAGTAAACCTGCACAAAAAAATTAAAGCAATGTGTTCCGAGCAATTATTTTAAGAACATTAGAATTTTTCTTTTTCATATTAATATTTTTGTTTTTTTACACTCCATAATATTATATATATATATATATATCACATTAACATTTTAATACATGACATTATTAATTTTCCTTCTATAAAACAAAATATATAAAAATCCAAACATGGCATGATGTTAACACAATGGATCATTAAAAAAGTGCACGTAATTGTTTTTTCCAATATAGTCCCTTTTTTTTTTTTTGGAACTACAATTTAGGCCCTGTTTGGTAGAACTGTGGAAGAGTGCTTATAGCTTATGCCTTAACAGCTTATAACTTATAACTATGAACATAAATTGATTTCTGACTTATAAATTAAGCTTCTCCTGCCCCACTCAAATAATAAGTTGATTTCTGACTTACAAAAAGCTATAAGCTGTATTGTTAAGCTAAACCAAACACATCAAAAATAGCTTAAATTAAGCTAAAAGCTGAAATAAGTTGAAAAAAAGGTATACCAAACAGGGCCTTAGTCCTTTTACTAAATATGTTATGGCAAGTTAGTCATTTTTTATTAGGGAATTGATATTAACACATCACAATTTGCTACCATTGTGTTTTAGAAAAAGACAAAATGTTAAAAATGAATGTATAGTGTGTGAACATATATTAGCAGCAAAGGTTTTCAAAATTGACAACTAACCATGGTTTGCATTGAAGAGTCTTTCTTGCATTCACCTTCTAGGAAAGTAATATAACTTTTTCTAAATAAAGAGGCTACATGGCTACCAACTTACCACATTTTTGAAATTACTACCCTACCATATTTTGTTTGTTTATTAGGTGAATAATATATATAAAGAGTGATATTAATTAAACTAATACAATAATAACACAGGATATAATATATAAAATATAATTCATAAATATAGTCATCTTAATAAATAATAATAACTGAATTTTTAGACAATCAATATTTATTTATTTTTTTTTCAATTTATTTAAGCTAAATCTGTCCGACAAAATATAACAGTTGCATCAAAGACTTGTAAGATAATAAGTTGCAGCATAATCAGTGAAGATATTCTCAAAAACCAGAATCAAGATTTACAAGTCACAAGAATGCCATGGATGCAATCCATATTATCAAGAAATTGCACAATACCCATTTGACATGAACAACAAGAGAGAAACACCATTTAAACCCAACCACAATCAATGTTCACCAAACCATCACAAAAGACACTTGAAGCCAACAAACAATCTCAGCAATCATAAGCCATAAAGAGTTCTTTAAACCGCAGAGTCGTTGTAACGGCAAAAGTCTCCCAGGAAAAATAGCAAGAACCATCATATATATACATATCAAACCTTCATCCATCCCCATCAGCTCTAGATTTTATTGAGCTTTTCTGCCTTCACAACAGGATTGGCTTTTGTTATAGCATCCTGTGCAGTGGTGCGGTAATCAAAAGGGCAGTCGTGTTTGTCCGAGTAGCGATGCGATCCACAAAAGAGGTCACCACAACGACATTTGAACCCGGTTAAGCCAACCCGCTTCTTGCAAGTGGTGCACCTATTGGGACCCTCCTTCAGCTTTGGCTCACCAGTCTCCTCAGAGCCAGACGCCGGATTTCGTGGTAGAGAAATAGTCTTTGGTTCCAATGAATCCACTTGCACGCCCACACTGAATCCACTTGATCCGTTAATAATATTGTTAATGGACGACGCAGCAAGTTTAGCCTGTTCTTGTTTCAATGTCAAGTCCTTGTGACACTTGGAACACATGTTCATGGTTGCTGCACTTCCAAAGAAGCCACAGTTGTTGATGCACAAAATAGGACCTTCGGGAGGATATTGGCATCCAGTTTCATCATGCTCCATTTTTTCACCTCTCCTGCACAAAATACACTTGAAAATCTACAAACTGGAAATGAAATTGCCACTCATCCACTTAAAAAAAAACAACTTAAAACTCTACAAAGTAAAGGTATGTTGAGCATAAGACAATGTCTAAAAATTAGAATGGGAATGGAAGTGACTACGCTGAGGGAAGGACTATTTTAATTTAAGCACTATTTGTTTAAATTCATCTGGTTCTCAATGTATTTTAATCTCGTGTTGGTTCAAAAAATAGCCAAATTAATACACTTATGGTGTCATATAAACTGACAGAACCTCAAAAGTGACCACGTAAATAATAGACAATAACCATGATTGCAGAAACTCTTCAACATAACCTCCCAAAGGTAACCTCTTATATAGCCTTTCATACTTGATCCGTAAACTGGCATGTTTACACAATCTACGAAACATAAAATTCCCACCATAAACTGGCACGAAAACCAATTATTACACCATAAACAAGACGTAGGAAGCATGAAAGTGCCAAAATAGGTGTTGTGTTCGTCGTGTCCAACACGTGCAACCGACATGGGTTTAAGAACGGAACATTTCTTGGAGACACTACTTTTCCTATAGGGAGAAGAAGACAAAGGAAGTGAAAAAGAAGATGAAGTAAAACTCTCAAATAGGTTTAAAGAAGTAGCCATGAAATTAAAACCAAGTCTCTTGGTTTTCCATTCAAATTACAATACATAAACTTCTCTATGAAATTGTATGCTAGAGTACCACGAGTCCACGACAGTAAAGCCATGTAAAGGTACCCACCTAATTTTCTCATATTAAACTGAAATGGATATACTTTGTGTTCTAGCCTTGAGATTGTTCCAATTTTATGACTCTTAAAAGTCAAGAACACTGTAGACAAACACAACCCACAAAATATCAACTTTTCTTTCCAAAAACAAGTTGTATCAAACTTGTATTCTTTTTCTATGGCTTTATGACTTTGCGGCAGTCCTACCCTACCAGTGGTTACATTTCAAGAATGGTAGTTTATTATTGGATAGTCAGATGATAATACCACTAGGGGTGATAAACAAACCAAATAACTCTAGCTCGACTCGTATTTGGTTTGTTAAAAGCTCGTTCAAGCTCAGTTCGTTTAGTAAAGAAACCAAACTTGAATACATTTTGGAGTTCGTTAAAATTTTCAAACCAAGTTTGAATAGTTAATTGATTGTTCGAATTGATTCAATAAGCCTAAAACTATATAAAAATACCAAAATACTTGAACTCGGCTCAACAAAACTATGTTTGAGATTGGCTCGAAAGTTTAACAAATCAAGCATGAACAAATTTGAAACTCGTTAAAAGTTTTCAAACCAAGCTTGAACAATTAACTGTTCGGCTCATTTATAACCCCTAAATACCACACGTCAGTGATAACACTGTATCACCTTTACATTCAATTTATACTCAAAAAACTGCCAGAGGTACTCTTCTATTAAAATTGGGAAGTAATTAACTTGCTTTTAAGAGCAAAAGGTGAACCAAATTTGCTGTCGAAAGCAGTAGACTACTATTGGAATTGTCTACCCAAACAATAGCTAACTACATGATCAATCTTCCCAACCTTCAATTAAGCCAAAATAAGCTAACCCTTCAATAATATTTATGCTAAAAATCAATACTTCCAAAAAGTAACTTAATTTCTAGCAAAAAAAGTAAAATATAAAACACAATTTTGACAAAACCCCCAAATTGTAAAACCCATTAACCAAAATTGTTCCAACCCATCAACAGAAATCCAAAGCACTAATTTCAATCAGCCATAGAAAAAACAGGACCCCCAAAAATTTCACCTGTTCATGAGGACGATAAACAAACCGTCTGTTTTCATCGAAATGAACAAAATCACAATCAATAAAAAATATTTATAAAAAAAAAAACAGATCGATCCACGACAGTATTTGTATACGAACTAGCATAAATGTGCATATTACATAAATAGATATACATATGGAGAGAGAGAGAGAGAGAGAGAGAGAGAGAGACTAACTCGGTAAGGAGAGAGAGAGAGAGAGAGAGAGAGAGAGAGCTCTCTTCTCTTCGATTTCTGCAGAGAGACACAATACAGTACACGCACCCAATTTTTTCTCCCCACAACCACTATCTACACAGTCTATTAGAAAATTTGATTTAAAATAATAAAATTTACATATATTAATACTGTTTAAAAAAAACTATAAATTTAAAATATAATTTGGTAAAAAAAAATACATTTTCAAGTAGTTTTTTTTAGTAGAAATAATTTTTAAAAATTTAAAAATATTTTTTAATATTTATTTTTATTACATTGGTTTTATTTTTTTAATTAAAAAACTGTTTTTAACAAGCAAATCAAACATAGCCTACATTTTAAAATATAAATCTAATTAAAAGTTGTATTTTATTCAGTTGTGTTAATAAATTAGATTTCTCACTGGGTGGTCACTTTCTTAATAGTTTTTTTTTTTTTTTTTTTTTTTTTTTGTGAATGAATACTGATGAAGAATGATATAACTATTATATCTAAATCTGGTTAATTTTTTGATTTTTTTTGACTATTTTAACTTAGGCTAAAAAGTTTAGTTTGGGAAAGATTTTTTGACTTTTTGGACTTTTTTTGTGAGAGAAGAGTATAATGATTATGAGTTAGATGTGATATTTTATTTTTTATGACTAAAATAGTCTATTTTATTTTTTGTGGCTAAAATAGCCAAAAAAACCTGAAATAACTCTTCCCAAACAGAGTACAACTTGACATTTTTAAGATTGGGTGGAGATTGTGGAGATTCTGGATTAAAAAGGCGTTGGGCGAGTCCTGTATTGATATTTTGAGTCATTTATTTTTAAATTTTTTTTTGTGTGTATCATGTATAAAAGAACTATATGGATTCAATAATTTACAACATATTTATTTAATTATATTTATTTTTAAAAAATAAGTAATTTATTTTTAAAAACATTACTATTCATTTTTTGTCGAACCAAAACCACCAATATGTCACGGGTCAATAGAAAGAAGGGTTTTGTTAAGGAAGTATTAAATCATCTCAACTACTCCATTATCATAAAAGATAGGAAAAAAACTATAAATGTGTCTTTCTAGAAATTGAAATACTTTTTTCTCCAATTCTCTTTATTTTAATATTATATACTTTTCAAATTTAATTTATTTATTTATTTTTTAAATAATTTTTATCATAGCACAAAATGCATTTATTTTTAAATGAAATTTCGAGCTTTTTTTTATATATAAATTTTAAATGCCCTTTAGTTTTATAACAAATGTAAAAAATTATATATTTTTAAGATTCATTTTCCTTTTTATTTTTAAATTCAGTTTTCTTTATTTTTTGATTTTTGGATTCATATAATTTAATTATGATTGAAGATAGAGGACATCTAAATTTTTTTTAAAAAAATGAAATTTTATTTTAAAATAAATGCATTTAGTTTTACAATAAAAAAAATTAAAAAATAAATAAATTCTACTTAAAAAGTTTATAATGTTGAAATAGAGAGAATTGGAGAAAATAATACTTTAGTTTCTTGCAAGCCACATTTATAGATTTTTCTATCTCCTATAATAATAGAGGTGGTTGAAATGATTTAGGGCTGGTTTGGGATATTTTAAAAAAGTGTACTTTTTGACTTATTGGCTTATATGGATTGGGTTTGGGTTGGGTTTGATGTGATGTATTAGAAATGTGATGTGATTTAAATAAGATGATGTGACTTAAATAAGATAATGACTTTTTAACTTTTTATATTATTTAGGTCATGCCAAACTTGGCCTTAATGCCTCATTAACAAGTACGTTAAGGACACGTAAAGCTTCATCTGTAATATCATTTTCCTATGGATCAAAAAGTATTATGTATTATAATTTTTTGTTTCTTATCTATGCATAATAAAGAAAAGGGCTCATGTTTTCTTTTCTTTTTTTTAACGCAAGGGGCTCGTATTCATTACCCCTTAAATTGTGGTTAATTTATACAATGAGACTTATCACTTTTAAACTGGTATTTTTTCTCAACAATATTTTGAGTGTCAATTGATAACAGTGAAACATATATAGCAAAGAAAGAGAGAGAGAAGAGGTAGTGAATAATACCCAAAAGGCTTCTTTTATTGCATTGTGTCACAAAAAAAAAATAAAAATAAATAAATAAATACAAGAGTTGAACCCTAGGAGAAAATATCAAAACTTTGAGCTCAATAATCATCATGCTTCTCTCCTATACAGTCTTCTCATCCTCCTCCTTAACCTTGTACTTTTTCTATGAGAAGTTTAATGCAAAAGGAAGGCGAAGATCGATATAATGGAGGCTCCGAACAAAGCTGGCATTGTTGCCTCTACACCGCTGGTGGGTGCAGGTGCAGGTGACTCGGTGGCTAAAGCTACGCTCATGGTGGTGGCGGCGGCAATGAGGACGGCACAAGTGAACATCTTCTTATCCATGGCCATTTTTGTGATCGGTGAAATGTCTCGAAAAAAGATATTATTCACCCAAAAAAATTCTTTTTGTTTGTTATTGATTGTGCAGTCCTGAGGATGAATATGAAGATAGGGGTGATATATATATGGGAAGGGGTAAGGTTGATTTTGGAATGAAATAATTAAGGTTAGGGGCTGTGTTTCTTTTAAGGTTTCATATGTGTATGTATGGCTTTGCATGAAATGAGGATTTTTTTTTAGTGGATTTGTTGTATGGAGGTTGTTTTGTAACTAGGTCAATTGCATTGTTTTGACTTGGTTTTGTGTTGAAAGGCTACTTTGGGGACAACGGGTGGATAGATAATCGTTTTTTTTTTTTAAATGTGAATCACAAATAATTATAACACAAAAAAATTGTTTAATTGATTTAGATAATGTGAATTTAATAAAAACATATAAAAAGTGATTAAAATATGTTGAATGCTCATTAAACAAAAACTAAAAAGAAAAATGAAAAAGAAAAAAGAAAAACAAGAAGGGAGAAAATGATTTTCGAGTTTAAAACCAAACAAGATGAATAGATTTGGATCTTATTTGTAATGATCTTTCTATTGTTTTGAGTTTGGGAAATTCTATGGTACACCATATGCATTTTAGTTAGGTCATTTGTGGCATTTAGTTTGACTTACTGTGGTATTATTTATAATTCATGATGATATTAATTATGACATTATTTTCATTATGATCTCATTTTTTTTATTATACCTTAATATTTGATTATTGTAAGTAAATTTCTTTTAATTATGAATCTTAAAATTTAGTTACTACATTTGCGATAATCAAATTTACAAATGTCATAACTTGCATGAAGGTGTGGATCATAACATTTACCCTTTAGTTTTGACCTCATGTCAACGAAATATGAAGTTGGATTTTATTTACATATTATTAGAATGTGTGAATAAAACATAAGTTTTAATTAGTTTAAAATAATAAAATTTACAATTTTAGATGAAATTAATACACATTGGGACGGAAGGTTTGTAATTTTAAACTAATCAAATTTTATATTTTATAGTAAAAAGAAATTAATCACTTTTATTTCAAAAGGACCTAACCACAAAGGGGTGTCCTTTGGGTTAGACTTTAATGAGTGGAGGTTTAGGTGGGGCTATACAGCAGGATCACGCAATTATATAGAGGTAAGTTGCAGACTTGTATATAAATAGGAATTTGAACCCATACTCTTGAAGCTGGGTATGATTTACCCAAGTTTAGAAGGTCCGTCTTATTAACCGTATGTGTTATTGTCCAAGTGACTTGACCTTGAGAAATTATTTTGATTTCATATTCAAACTAAACTGTTTTTTTTTTTTTTTTTTTTTGGTGCTAATCTAATTTTGATATACACATATTATCAAAATTAAATCAAATAGGGTTTTCCCACCGAGTTTTATAGGGCTGTTGACTATTTCCTCGAACTTTTTCACTAAAAATTTTATGACAAAATCTAATGGCGAAGTGGCTCTGCCATCGACTCGCCTCCAATTTCCTCCGCCGCCACCACCGCCACCACCAACCCTCACTTTTTACTCTAATTGGTTAGAAAATTTGAATTACTAATCGTGAATGTGTTAAAAAGACACTTAAACTAATAAAATAATTGTTTTTTTTAAATTTTATTTTAAATAGGATCAAAATATTTATATTAATAATGGGGGTATTTGGGAAGTTAGTTTTTAGTTTTTTTTTTTCACTAAAAGACAAATTAGTTATAAAAATTAAAAAAATAAATCCAAACAAAATATCACATCAAATTTCATAATCATTTTATTTTTTCTCTCACAAACATCACATTCAACCACAAAAAAACTCAACTATCTTTCCAAACACAAAAAAAATTTCTCTAATAATATTCTATAACTAAAAAAACCTACAAAAAAATTCACTTTCCAAAAACTCACAATATGTGTGCCATATTAGGACGGGTTATTTTAATTTTAATTTTTAAAAAGGATTTCGGTTATAGTTTTACTTGCAATGGTCTGGGACAAGATGATAAGAGTGAGCATGGTCTGGATTAATCCGGATTGAGATAAAATCATGACCAATCCGTTATTTATGATTTTTGAAAAATTTAAACTAATCCAATCTGTTTAAGCCTCTGTTTGAGAAGATGGATTGGGTTGGGTTTGAGACTATTTTAGCCACAAAAAGGCAAAATAAACTTTTTAGCTCAATAAGACAAACCATCACATCTAACCTATAATCATTACATTCTTTCTCTTACAAAAAGTCAAAAAAGCCAAAAGTCTTTCCAAAACGAGGTTTTTCAACCCTAGGCTAAAATAGCCAAAAAATTAAAAAGCCAACCCACTTTCCAAATGATCATGGAACCAAACTGAATCAATCTATTTAAACACAGATTGGATTGATCTAGGACCACAAATTCACATAATTAAATAAAAAAAAATAGAACATTTTAATTTCATAAAAACATAAATATAGTATCATATTAGTTCCACAATAGCAACATGCATTTCCATAATAACGACATATTGTTCTAAAATTTAAAAATTTATAAGAAAACTACTTCCACATAAGTATTTAGACTACTACAAATTAAAATTAAAACCAACAAATAAAAGTAATAAAAGAAGATACTATGCGGGTTTAGGTTTAGGTTTAGGTTTAGGTTTTATAGGG